CATTCCCCTTTATATGTATACATATATATGTATATATATGTATATATATAAAGGGGAATGTATTAAGTATAATATATATGTGTATATATATACATACATATGTATATATACACATACATACACACACACACACACACACACACACACACACACATATCCTATTAGTTCTGTCCCTCTAGAGAACCCTGACTAATACACTAGGTTTGTGTATATTCAAATGTCTAATAGAAAAAAATGGCTGTTTTTTAATTACCCCATATCTGTTTATCATATATTTTGGTGGTTTGATACATAATCATTTTTTATCTTATTGAGATCAAATGGCCAATTCATTATCAAAATCTGAAAATAGTAACTAAATGCAAATTTTTTTCAAGAATTCTACTATATCATAAGCACTGCTGAGCAGGAAAAATACAAATATGATACAGCACAAAAATAATCTCATAATAAACATAAAAGTAACCTGAATAACTTAGGATTTTATGCAAATAAATGTAATGTACAGTTAGCTCTCCATATGAGCAGATTCTACATCCATGGAGTCAATCAACCATGGATCAAAAATACTCAGAAAAAAAATTACTTCTGTACTGAACATGTACAGCCTCTTTTTTCCCCGTCCTTATTCCCTAAAGAATGCAGTATAACAACTATGTACGTGGCATTTACATCATATTATATATTCTAAGTAGTCTAAAGATGATTTAAAGTATACAGGAAGATGTGCATAAATTATATGCAAAAACTACATCATTTTATTTCAGGAACTTGAGCATCCACAGACTTTGGTATCCATGAGAGGTCTTGGAACCAATCCTGCATGGATACTGGACCATATTTTCAAAAATTATGTTTTACAATGAAAATAAATATGCAAGAATGCAAAGCTTTTGCAAACTCTAGATAACACAAAAACGAGTCAAGATAAAACAGTAGGTTCCCAATTAGGTGTTCCATTCTTGCCTTTTGGTTTAGCTCAAGGGGTCGGCACAGGACTCCTAACCTTGAGTTAAATCTGCCCCATCACTTGTTTTGTAAATAAAGTTTTATTAGAACACAACCATGCCCATTAGTTCATGAATTGAGACAATGACTCATAACACCTAAAACACTTGCTACCTGGCCCTTTACAAAAAAGCTTTTTGTACCTCTGTCATAGTCCATGAATATACAAACATATAGTAAAGCTACTGTCATTTTCACATTGCTACATTATCAAGTGTTAGTTGCACTATTCTCCCTATCTTAGCTGGGCTGCTTTGGGGGTTTTCCCTATATCCCTTAAAGGATGAACCTTGTCATAAAGCCATGGTTTTTCTCTTGCTGGGTTCTGGAAGGCACAATTTTCCATACCATAGGAACTGGTTGCAACAGCTTCCAAATGATATTATACTTTCATTACTCACTTTTTGTAAAATGATCTGCATAAATATTCCCTTTGTTTCAAGTTTGGACAAATGGTGATTCATACTTTTGTTGACAAAATGAGAACTTTGATTAGAATCAATAATATCAAATAGCTGCCATCAAGTAAAAATGCATCCAACAAACCTTTTGTAGTAGGGCTGTATAAATGGATATGGTCTCGATTTATTAGGGAATGGATGGATGCATAATAAAAAAACATTGATTTTTCAGGTTTTTTTTCCCCCAGATACTGGTAGCTTGCAATTGATTTAGAGTACCATTAGTGTTGTTATGGTTCTAAGCATTTTTTAATTGCCATTGTTATTTCTTCTATATCCTATAAGCTATTGAGGAGTACATTTTAAAATTCCCAGACACATGAGGTTTTATTAAGTATATTTTTATTGTTTCCAGTATATTGCCTTGTGACCATTCTCTATATTTGGGGTATAAATTTATGTATGCATAATGTATCAGGCTTCATAATATCATTGATTAAGTCTTCTATCTATTTTCTAATACTCTGTTATCTTTATCTACTGATTTCTGATAAAAGCATGTTAAAATCTTGAAACTGCTGATGAACATGTCCATTTCTCTTGGTAATTCTGTTCATTTTCCTCTCTGGAGTTCAAGGTGTGTACAATTTCATATTGTTTTATTTTCTTGGTAAACTTGCCCTTCTATGTATATTAGATACCATTTTATTTTACTAAAAATAATTTGTGCATTAAATTCTATATTGTTGGGTATTAGTATTACCTCTCTTATTAGTATTCTGCTTGACTTTTTATAGCTGTGTCATTTTATGTGGATTTTTAGTAGCTAAATCCATTCACACTGATGGTAGTTACTCATATATTGGGACTTATTTCACCATTTTATTTTGTATGGTCTATATTATTGTTGCTTTTATTTTTTCTCTCTTCCTATTTATTTTCAATTTTTAAATTTTTTTCATTTCCTCTGGATTTTGGCTATGTATTATGTTTCTATACTTGTAATGGTTATTTTAATTGTTATATATGCTAAATATTAATTTGCCTAATAAAATCTGAAATTATCTGGAAATTATATTCTTGATCAAAACACTGCATTCCTGTCTTGTTATTGTTGTCTGTATTTTTTTATTTAAAAACGTTAATACAAAAATGCTATCTTTACATTCAGTATTTAGATAAATTACTTGGTATTATTTCATTCACTTCTGTGTACACTAATGTTTCTTGAATCCCAACCAACTCTTCTCTCTTTCCTTATCTCTTATCCTCTTGATGAAGAACTTTTCTGAATATTGATTTAAGCAGTAGTTTTACAGTCTGTTTATATGAACTCTGTGCCTGAAAAAATGCCTTTACTTTATGTTAGCTATTGCATGTTAGGTTGGCAATTGCTTTCCTTCTAACCTGGATTGCTATAAATGAGAAACTCTAAAGTCTAATTTATCAGAGATGAGAATTGCAACTCCTGCTTTTTTTTGCTCTCCATTTGCTTGGTAAATCTTCCTCCATCCCTTTATTTTGAGCCTTTGTGTATCCTTGCATGTGAGATGGGTTTCCTGGATACAGCACACCGATGGGTTTTGTCTTTTTATCCAATTTGCCAGTCTGTGTCTTTTGACTGGAGCATTTAGTCCATTTACATTTAGGGTTAATATTGTTATGTGCGAATTTGATACTGCCATTTTGGTGCTAGCTGGATGATGGGGAGGAAGGCAGCAAATCACACTGTCACATGTGTACCTATGCAACAATTTCGCATGTTCTTCACATGTACCCCAAAACCTAAAATGCAATAAAATAAATAAATGGGGGAAAAAAAAAAGAACGGAGAAGCTCACCATTAGTTGAATTGTCATCCCCTGGTAGGTAATCCAGTGCTTCTCTGTGGTATCTTAAGAATTTCTCTTCATTCTCAACGGTTTGCAACCAACTATTATATGCCATGGAGTGAATTTATATTTATTTATCTTTTCAGATCATAGAGTGCACTTTTGATACAAAGACTTCAATTCTGAATCATGTTGAATATTATTTTTCTGAAAAAGTACATTAGCCATGATGTCTTCAAATGTCTTTTATTTACAACTCCATCCATTCTCCAGCCACTTATCTTTTATGAAACTCCTATTAAAGTATATGATAGTGTCTCATTCTGGCCTCCAAATCTCACAGCTCCTCTTTTATGTTTTTATACTTCTTTTTAAATCACTTTTCTTGCTATTCTGTTTGTTCTAATATTGTACCAATGTACTCAAAGAACATTCTTTTAAAAATTTGCTATAGAAGAACTTTTATAATCATAAAATCATAGCTTCTACAAAAGCAATCTGCCATGTGAGTTGAAATTAAAAGATGATGTGATGAACTACACAGAGCTATCATGGATATAAAGACAGAACTGGAGAAAAATAAGGAAAATCTCTGGCATGATAGAATTTCAAGAGTAGGATTTCCAGCCCTAAATGGAGGAAGTAAGATAGTTCCATTTTCCTGAGAAATTGATACTGTGGAAGATCAAGTTGGTGACATGAAGAAAAATGGTTCTCTCCCATGATGTGGAGCAAAGAACAGGGGGTAAACCCCAATGGGTGAATATGAGTAAGAGGACAGAGTCCCAACATGAAAATTACAGACGCTCCTTTCACCAGAGTCAAGTCAATGGCAAGAATAATTGGAGCAGATGTAGTCATTAACTGGAGATTGATTGATGAATGGCAAACTAGAATGTACTATTTGAATTCAGAGGTCAAAAAAACCTGTCACTGTCTAGATAAAATTAAGGAAAGGAAGGGGTGCTGCCAACATTTCTGAATTATAGGAATAAAAAATATCCACTGGCAAACAAGCAAATACATGTGTCTGTTTACTAAGAAATAAATACCAAGCTAATTACAGACATTTCCACCAAAAAGTAAATTCTCAAAGATAAAGAGTAAATATATTAAAATTTTAGAGGGAAAAATGTTAATATTATAAACATTGAATTTTATAATCAAGGTTTCATTCAAATGTAATGGCAAAATAAACTTTTTTTCATGTACACGTGCATTCAAACACCAACCAGAAGAAGCTCTTTGTAAAAATTTCTTGAAAATGGACTCCAGCCAATGGAAGAGAGAATCAAAATTAAAGCACTTAGTAATGTATGAGTCCTTGTCTAACTTAGTCACATAATAAGCAAGAAATCACACACTAGATTTGTTTTTAATGTTTTGCAAGCAATATAAGGAAAAATATGAGGAAAAAATAATAGTAAAATGTCTTTATACATGGAGGCAAAGTTGGCAATCCAGATGTTAATTGTCACAGAAATATAACAGCAAGGCACCTCAGAGTCCTTGGAGATATTATTTTTCATATATATATATATATATATATTCACTTCTTAAGTGACCGCTTCCATCATCCCCAACTTTATATAACATAAACAGTTAACCCTGGAACAACACAAGGGTTAGAGACACTGACTCCCTGGGTAGTTGAAAATCCAAATATAAATTGACTCCCCCAAAACTTGACTACTGATAGCCTATTGTTGACTGGAAGCCTTAGTGATAACACAAACAGCTAATGAACACAAATTTTGTATTTTTTTTTAACGATGACTCTTTATAAACTTGTATGGGGTCTAAATTATCCCTTGTAATATATATGTGTGTATTCATTCCACAGAGAATTAGGTGATCCGCCTCCTGGTAACCTGCTGGGAATTTCTCCAGGGCTTCTGGCTCCCCTTGAATGGCCACCTCCAACTTGTTTTGTTAGAACTCCCAGCATCACAGCGACGGCAGCTGTCTTATATTCTCCACACATCCATGACCCATATCATTTCCAATAAATCGTCCACATCACCACCTTCTTCAAATATGTCTGCTGTATCTTCACTTGTTTTTTCTTTGGAAGCCAGAAACCTTTGGCTTCCTCAGCTGTGACAGAACTTCCAGAGGCTTCCTCTTTGGTGATCAGAGTAATTTCATGCTGAACAACAATTTCCCAGAAATGATTTAATTGTTTAATTTCCACTTTCTCTCGAAGGGCTTACAGGAAGTTGTTAAAGCGCTACTCTTCTGAAAACTTAATGGCTTCTTCCTGGAAGGCTCTGATGCAGTCCATGCTCTTCATAAAATATGTCGTTTCATTAGTATCCAAAAACTGTTTGATGTGATTTATGACCTGGTCACTTGCTTCCTCAAAGCTGGCATTCTTCCGTTTCACTAGAACATGGAAGTTTTCGGCAGGATTCACACTTCCAACAGAGGTAACACTGCCTTCAGCCAGGCTGGAGATGCTGAAATGGGCTCCCCCTTCCTCAGTCTTTAAACATTTTGTATGTTTTACGTATTTTATATATATATATATATATATATATATATATATACACATATATATGTATATATATATATGTGTGTGTGTATATATAAATATATATATATATAATGTTCGTACAACAAGTAAGCTAGAGAAAAGAAAATGTCATAAAGAAAATCATAAGGAAGAAAATATATACTTACTATTCATTAAGTGGAAATGGATCATCAAAAAGGTCTTCATCCTCCTTGTCTTCACGTTGAGTAGGCTGAAGAGGAAGAGGAAGAGGGTTGGTCTTGCTGTCTCAGGGGTCACAGAGGCACAAGAAACTCCACAAATAAGTGGACCCACACAGTTCAAATTCTTGTTCAAGAGTTAACTGTATAATATGATGATACGTCCTCAGTCTCAAGTTCTCACCCAATCATCAGATATCTCTTATTTGCTCTGGATGCCTACAACGCACAAACTTGGAATGAACAAACAGACCGTTGATTCTAAGAGCCTCGAAACCTGCTCCCCTCCCTGTTCCCCTCAAAATGAAGGAACAGCATTACTATTCACCCTATTGCCTCAGACCCTATTCCACATGTCATCTTCAATTTTTCACTTTCCATCAGCCCCATGTGTAAGATGAAGTCCCATGGGCTCAAAAACATTCCAAAATTTTCAAGAATTTTGGCTTCATAAGCAAGAAGAGAGATTACGTAGGAGATGGAAGACATTGTGGAATCAACAAATGGATTTTGCTGGTTTGGTTTTTGGTGGTGGTGATGGTGGGTTTTTTGGTTTTTGCTTTTTATTTTTTAGAGCCAAGACCTCTCTCTGTGCCAGGTTGGAGTACAGTTGTGTGATCATAAATCACTGCAGCCTTGAACTCCTGAGCTCAAGCAGTCCTCCCACCTCAGCTTCCCAAGTAACTGGAACCACAGGCATGAGCCACCATGCCCAGCTAGGTTTGTTTTTAAAGACAGGGAAAACTTGGTCTCCTTTCAAAGGAGCAAGTAGATTGGAAAAAGATGAAAGTATGGGAGAAGTTGGAGAAATCACTTAAGCATGAATCCACAGAAGGCAAGGAAGGGGAAATGGAATCCAGTGTGTCGAGATCAGGGTTAGTCTTGCAAGTGAAAGGGAGCTTGTTGGTGGAAGAATTTATTCGCTTAGAAGGTATGATAAGAAGGAAACAACAGGTGTTTATCCTTATAGCTATAGTTTTGCAGCAGGAAGCTGATTGCATCTCCTTCCATTTTGAAGTTTGTGGGATGACCTGCTTCAAACTGGTAGAAATTGGATGGTGGGCAGGGTAGGGATTGGGGAGAGATAGGAGAAACAGGAAGAAGGCAGAAGCCCATAGAGATTAGGAGAAAGACGATCGTGAAAACAGGGACGGAGTACATGGAACTCTGCATGCCCTCCAGAGAGTAGAAATCAATAATCTATAATGGAATCCAAATGTATATTTGCATAACATTCCATAGAAGTCTCCTCTCCCCAAGACATAGGCTTGTATTAAATGGGGGCATCCAGGACTGAAGTACTATTGACAAACAGGTTGGACAGAAGAACGAATGTTAAAAATATTGATAAAATATTTGAAGAGGTGGAACATATAATCTAAGCCCAATAGGGAAGGATGTAGAATCAGAAATAAATTGATAAGTAGGGAAAAAAACAGTGTCCCCAAGACATCAGTGACCATCCCTTCTCAGCAAATGGCAACTACATCAGAAATTTCCTAAGTCTATCTATGTTAGTTCACTAGGGTTGCTATAACAACCATATTCACCTTTTCTCCAACAAGCTTGCATCTTGTGGTACTTGGAAAATTGCAAATGTCTTGGACATCATCCACACTCCAACTCCACATTTTGATCAGGAGCATCTTTGAAAATGCAAACTTGATGTTACCTATGCCCAGCTGATACTGCTCAATGGCTTTTCATTGTTGTAAAAGTGAGAACAGAGAGGTTTAAGATGGAAAATTGATTCTAAGCAAGGCTACAGCCATGTCAAAGCACTGTCCGCCTCTCAGAAGGTGCCATGTTTCCTTTAGACTTGATGTCTTCCCATTTACTGTTTCCTTTCTACTAAATGCCCCTCTCTCTGTCTCAGTTGGGCTCCCCTTTCAGATCTCAGATTAGACATTTCTTCTCCTTTGTCTTTCTCAGACTCCTTCCTCCTCCCTCCATCACCCTTAACTGGGTTAATTTATCTTCTGCTTGCTCCTATAACCCCCAGGGCTTACCCTATTGGCACACTCCATTAGGGTATTGTGTTATCATTTCTTGTTTATGATCAGGGTCTCCCATAATGAAAAGCAAATCTTTTAAGGGCTGTAACTTTGTCTCTCTTATGGATATATGAGTGTTGGCCATGCCTAGACTGTGCTTAGCACATCATTAAACCCCACTAAATATTTGTTGAATGGCTTACTGGCTTCTCTTCATTTGGAATAGCCTTGCTACTCCCTGGGCATTTATCACCTACATACAAAACTATACCCATGAGACTTTGTAGCTCCATAGTATGTTCCATGATAAACATTTGATTGACTGAAACATTCCTCCTTGTTTCCTTTCTTCCTTTCTCTTTCTCTCTCTCCCCCTGCCACTGCTGTCTTCCTCTCTCTCTCTCTCTCTCTCTCTCATTTATTTATTTATTTTTGGCTGCATGTAAAGTCTGTACAGAGCAACAACTGTTGTCTCCCCCTGCAAACTGTGCAACACTCTCCCTGGTGGGGAGACTCCACGAAGCCTTCTGTGCTGTTCTGTGCCAGCCGTCAAAGGTCTAATGTGATTTCTTTTCTCCTTTACTTTCTACAGAGGGTGGCACAAACCCAGGAAGAATTGCAGCCTTAAAAAAAGAAAAGTCTCAGCCTTTTTGAATTTTACTTGGCTCTGAAACAAATGATAAATGTTACCAGCATTTAAGAAAAACATCAGTTCATCTCACTAGAAATTTGCACACATGATTATAGGAAAGTAAATTTAAAATATAAGCACTATTTGAAAACATCTCCTACTTGCTCAAATCAGAAAGTTGGTAGATTTGGGAGGAATGAGTAGTCTGCTGCGATTGAAGTAAGTTTTGACCTGATGACAGCATTCAGGCACAAGCATCCTCCAACGGCCATTGTAGGAAGCAGGACCTTGATGGGGCAGGGTCACTGCTCTCAGGTCAGTCACACGATGAGGCCATTATACAATAGCTGAGAGGCATCCTGGAAGAAAGCTGCCCCACTCCCTTGAGTCTTCACACATTAACCATTGAAAAACTCTTCAAAACTCACACCATCACTTTAAAAAGCATTAGGGAGGAGAGATGCAATGCAGGACAGATCTTACATAACCAGCACCTGATTCAATATTTGGAATAAGAAATGAAGAAATGGGAAATTGATTCCAGGCAAACATTTCTTCTTCTTCAGATTCAAACGTGTTGATGTTTAGTTTTTTGGATGGATGCAGTATAAAGTCACAGTGATATACACATCTGTAAATCTCAAGGAAAGCAAGTTCTCAAAATAAATTGTAAGAGACACTTTTCTCTCTTAAATGTGCAACAATTTATCAAATAATTCACAGGAGTGTGAATTCCTGTTAAAGTGAGTATAAACATTCTAAGCCCTAAGCAGTAGAGGTAAAAGAAGTTGCTCTCAAATATCTTTTTAAATTTTATTTTGTTTTCTATTTCAATAGGTTTTTAGGGAGCAGGTGGTGTTTGGTTACATGAATAAGTTCTTTAGTGGTGATTTCTGAGATTTTGGTGCACCCATCACCCAAACAGTGTACACTGTACCCAATGTATAGTCTTTTATCCCTCGCCACGTCCCACCCTTTTCCCCAAGTCCCCAAAGTCCAATGTTTCATTCTTATGCCTTTGTATTCTCATAGCTTAGCTCCCACTTATGAGTGAGAACATACAATGTTTGGTTTTCCATTTCTGGGTAACTTCACTTAGAATAATAGCCTCCAATTCCATCCAGTTTGCTGCAAATGCCATTATGTCATTCTTTTTTATGGCTGAATAGTATTCCATGGTATATATGTACACCACATTTTCCTTATCCATGTGTTGATTGATGAGCATTTGGGCCCAGCAATCCCATTACTAGGTATCTACGCAGAGGAAAAGAAGTCATTATACAAAAAAGATACTTGCACACACATGTTTTTTGCAATTACAAAAATATGGAACCAGGTAAAATATCTTATTACATGTTTTTAATGTAACAGAGAAAAGATTAACTGAAACAATGATAACATCAACAGAGAAGGGTGACTAAAGGATTGGCTGTTAAGAAAATGCTAAAAGTTTTAATGCCATATTATTAAGATTTTCTCTGATTGTAATTTCTTCTACACAGAAATTGCAAACCTGAGTTCTACCATGTGCAACTTCAGTTACCCCTTCTAACTTAGCAAGCTGAACCCAGGCCCCTGGAGAAGGAAATACAGAACTTCTCTCTTCCCCTACTCATGCCTTTGACCAACTCCAGACCTTCCACTTATCCCCGGTATCAGAGCCATTGGACAATTTACATAGACATTAATAGTCCCAAATATCAGAAAGGTAACATCAAAAAGTCTTTCCTAAGTGAAATGCATTTGGACCCTCACATCGAATGAGGACGGCTTGTTGGCAGATGACAGCACCAAGAGCCCCTTTGAGGAGCTGGTGTTCTGTGCTTATTATAGGACGTAAAGGGTGATAGGAAAGAGCTGGATCTGACAAAGCTAGCAGCCAAGCACAGGAGGTACCCTGATCAGCCAACTTGGGGACAATGATTGGGCAAGTGAGGATGAGGCAAAAGGCTGTAAGTTGGAGATATAAAAGTGTGGATTGGAACCTCTTTCCTGAGCCCAGACAGTGAACCATCTTCCTGCAGAGATACTGAGGACAGGCCACATGTGTGAATGAGAAAAAGCGCATCAGGTGCACTGGTGCCAGGTCTTGGCAGCAACCCCGTGTGGAAGCAACAGCAGCCCAAAGGTTTCTGCTGCCTGGGGTATGTG